GCACTGGATAGCTGGCAAATCAGAACACACCTCGCTTTTCAGAACGATGAGCTTTGTAAAAATTTACACGTTTCAGAAAGGCGGGGCATAGGGGAGAAACAATGTACAGTATGTGGAAAATAATAAACCTTAAACCACATCAACACATTGCATTACACCAAATACACAAAATAATGTTCTTTTTAGCAACGTCATATGACCCCTTTAAAAATACATCGTCTGCAGGGTTTGGGTCAGCATGTTAACATTTGCCACCCTAAAAAGTGTTTATTATTTTATTTTAATTGTCATTTTTATTAATTAGTATTTTAATTTATTTCCATTTTTTGTTTTGTATTTGTTTATTTTTATTTATTCAATCAAATTTAATTTTGTTTCAATTCTTAACATCTGCAGACATCCTAGATGTGCCTGCCTATCTTGCTTTATCAGTCACAGACAGTCTGAGGTGTTGAAGATTCTTCCCATTGTCTTCCCATTTGCATGCTTTCTTATTTGCCATCAGACTTATCTAGTTATCTGTCATTTAATTGGCTAAAAGAATTATGCTGAAATAGCTTGTCTCGCTCAGCTTTTTAAACGACTACTGTTAGTGGATTGTTGTTGACAATGCTTTTATCGCTTCCAGTCCTTTAAATTAGCTGATTTTGTACATTTCAGGGTCGTAAGAAATGCATTATAACGTGTTATCACATGTTCTTGTAATAAGATAATGGCATGACAAAAAAAAATAATGCTTTTGGATCAGTCGTGACTTTAAGGTAATCAGTACCGCATTTGGACTTCAACATATGAAGTACTATATATTTTTTGTCATTTTTGGTAATTGTCAAATAAAGGTCAGGGAACTTTCATGCTGTCAGATAGTGAGAGATTCCCTGTTGTCGTCGTATCAGCTATTTAGTCACTGAGAGAGAGGCATGCTGTTTTCACCAGGAGGTGAAGAGTTCCATGGCCAGCCATTAATGATTACAAGAAAGTAGTAGATTCCTGGCATATTTGCCTTGGGAAGCATAAGGGAGCGAGCATCCAAACCAACGGGTGAGGGATTACGATACAGACTGTAAAAATGAGACATGCCAGGAAAAGGAACACGGATTAATGAATAGCTATACAAGGGTGTTCATTATGATCAATGCTCCAAATCCCCTCCCAAAACGAAACAAGAGGACTACTATTCTATGTGTGTGTATTTCAGAGAGCGTAACCTGTTTGTCTGGTTTGACAAGGACAGGAATCGGTTATCAGAGTAAGAGGGAGGTGACCGTAGAGAAAGAATGAAGTTGTGAAGGTTTAATTATATGTGTGAGTTAGAGAGTTTCAGAGATGTGATTGCATAGTCGGTGGACGGAAACAAGAGAGAGACACAAGTACTTGAAGAGAAGTCTAGCCCAAGGTGGGTAAGGGCAAAGTTGAGGTGCTAGTGATGTCACAGAAAGGGGGAGAGAAGGGGCGGATCTCAATTGCCTGAAACTCTTGCAACACCTTTTGGTCTCTTCGAAAGCAGACAAGAGAGTATTGTTCAAGGAAGCCACAACCCTGTGGGAAACTTTAGATCAGGACTATACTGAACCTGTCCAACTATCCAGGGACTTTAAAGGCTTGCTAACTGAACTGGTAAGGTTAATTTTTTTAGATCTTTGAAATTAGGATAAGTTGTCATTGTTCATTTTGTTGTTATTAAATGACTGTCAGAAATATGTCAAATTTTAATATGCTTTCGGCAGTCAAATCTACTGTGTGAGCCATGCTTGGATCTAATTGTTCCTATGCGTATTACTCAGAGCTGCATTCGAGCTGTACCTGGTGGGGAGCGTTTATTAACATTTCTGGTAAATCCTCACCCCTGCACGCTGATAGTAGTTGGATATTGTACTTTCCCTGCCCTAAGCTGGGAAAAAAGATCTGAAAGGACAGTTCTCATGCATGGCAGATGTTTTGGCCATGCTTTTAAAACAAACCTGTTTTTCAGTGCTCTCCCTTTAGGGCGAATTTAATAAGTTGTGAGCACAGTGGACGCTTTGGTTCTGTAGTGCTTTGACTGTACTGGCTTCATACCCAAAGCAACTGTCTTGTGCTACCACTTAAATATATCAATATCAATATCAATATGGATGTAGTGAATGATGTTTTTGTGAGCAGTTTCAGAGTACAGTGTTTCTAGGAGGGCATTAAAATATATTTTTCTTGGTTTTATACAGAAAGAAAAAGTAAATGCTAAAATACAGGGATGTAAGTGTCAATGGGTGAATCTTACAAAGAAATGTCTAGATCATAGAAATTAATGCAAGTCCTATTTGTAGGTCTTTTTGTCATTGATATATTTTCATGATGTTTCACGTAACAATGTTCCTAATATAGTTCCTGTCTAACTCCCGTTTCCTTTTTCTTTGTAGCTCTTTCTGTGGAAACAGCTTGAAAACCTGTATTTCCGAGAGAAGAAGTTTGCTGTAGAGGTTAACGAGCCTCAGAGGTGAGAACAAGATAAATCTACATAGGTCATGTCTTGATATACATTTTCCATGTTATAAACATGAATGAGACCCACTAGCACTCAGTGAGTACAGTTTGTGATTTACTAAGCATTATTTCTGTACTTATAGACTATAAAAAGTGGCCTTTGAATAGACTAAGTAAATGTTGTTGATGCAAAGCCTTTTGACGTAGCTAATGTGTTTGCAACGCTGAACTGCAGCAGTGAAGCAATCGGTCACTTTACGCTGTAGTAGTAATACGGGCTGGGATTGCTCTGTAAACAAAGATGATATCATACAGGACATTGTAGCATGGTCACTGACCTCCTTTATAGTCAATGGGTATTATATATCAGGTAACCTAAAAACTGCTTCATATGGTAACATCTAATATAATTGGATTTATACACTTAAAAAAACTTTTGTTTTAATCAGCCTGACTACATTTTATTATCATTTTTAAATGTAGAATCACTGATTTATTTTTTACTATTCTTGAATATCTTGCTATTCAAATGATTACTGTTACAGAAACCAATATTTTAATTTCATTGACACAACATAGTATCAAATGTGTTATGTTTGACTTCAGTGTGCGCGTGTTAATCCACAGAAGAACAGCTTCTAGGCGCACATTTGGTCAGTCTGGTCAGGTCATCTACACGTGGTATGCCAGCCATTCTCTGATCAAAACCATCTGGGTGATGGCCATCAGTCAACACCAGTTCTACCTGGACCGCAAACAGAGCAAAGTAAGTATTTGTGCATCATTAATACTTATTACTTGTAAATTCAGAATTGCATAAATCATCGCTTAGTTTCTGCACTGATAGCATGCAAAAGTGATGATGTAATAACCTCTTTTTTTACATACCTAAAGGCTAAAATAACTGCTGCAAGAAGTTTGGGTGATATTGCCATGGATCTCACAGAGACTGGAGCTCCGAGGAACAGTAAGCTGGTCAGCATGGAGAGTAAAGACAAGCTCATCATGACCAGCAATGGAAGTTTGGTCTCTTCCAGTAAGACTGTCTGTTTCTTCCATTCCAAGAACAGCCTAATGAACTCTGTCATTCATACCGATGTCGAGATTGAGCTTGCTTTTGCTTTCATTTAGATTCTGCAGACAATGAAGTGAATGAGGAACAGAAGAAAGAGAAGATTGCAGAACTGAAGAACAAACAGAAGAGCATAAAAGAAATTCTGGCACTCAAGGAAGAAGAGCTGAAGAAAATTTGCCTCCGGGAAGCTGTTAGTGGCTTGTCATATTTTCATATGCTTTTTCAAGTATGTCAATTTAAATAGTCATATCTTAAGATTTTCTTTGCTTTCTCTTTTAATTTGATCAGGAGTTGACCGGTGTGTTACCTAAGGAGTTTCCTTTGGCACCAGGAGAGAAGCCCCCCACTGTTCGAAGGCGCGTGGGAACTGCTTTCAAATTAGATGACATTTTCCCTTATGATGCGGTAGGCTGTCTCAATTGCTTTTCTTAGAAATGCTGTAAGAGCTGCTTGCAATTTCTGTACTTCTTTGCTAATTAAATATTTTTCTTGCAGGACCCTCATTTAAGAAACCTGGAGAGCTGCTTTGCGCTCCAGAAAAAGATTGTGGAGGCAGCGAAAAAACTTGCCTATGAAAATGAGCTCTGTAAAACCGTGAAGAAGAAACGCAGGAGAAACCTTCTGGATGCTACCAAAAAACTCCAGGGGATCGAAAATCAGATTAATGATTACAGAGTGAAGATTGGCAAGGAACCCACACAAAGAGCTTCTGTCATCATTGCTGGTGCATATCTGGTTTAATTATTAGTCATGATTATATATTTATATATATATGTATTGGTCAAAATGTGTGTGAACCCTGAAAACGTGCATGCTTATACAGTGTATGCAAACTTGCACTGTGTTGACAGTCAGGGTTTGATGCTTCACTTATGTAGAGGTTATGAATCATGGCGGCAAGGAAATATTACATGCAGAACCATAATCTATATTGTTGTTGCAGATGATGTGAACCTTGACAGCCTTTCTGACTGCCTGAATTTGGAAGATGGTGAGTATTGCAACAATGTTATATATAATGGAATATTATAACAATGGTGTATTGTAACCATGTAGAATTTTATACCATCACTTTTGGTCATTGTAATATATGAATAAAAGCTTTCATTCTTAAAATCTTACTGACCGTAAACATTTAAACAGTAGTATATAAACGCCTTTGCCTCTTATCTCTGCAGGTTAGACTAGGTGGCTATCCTATTAATCTTGTTAACTTGTTTTGTCTTAGACGAGCCATCACAGAGACATCGTTCACGTTCAGTGCAGTATTCTCCACGTCCCAACTCGTCAAACTCCTTCGCTGCATCATACCATTCAGATCACATTGATCACGCCAATGCCAACTACCAGGACTGCGGCAGGTGAGAGTCCTGCCAACCACAGCTCTTCAGGATTAAGCTTGAGCACTTCTTACATTTCCCTGCCTATGGCTGCTGTTTGTTTTTGTGCTGTTGAGCTAGTAGAGACCTGTGAATAAGGAATCAGCCCTGCATTCCAGTCATCCCTTGCCTCGACTTCTTTCTTCTCAATCTCCTCTTATCAGCCCAAACACTCACAGTGTTAAAAATAGTGCCCCAGGAATAAGCATGTCGCTGCTTGACTGCAAAAACTCCAGCAATAATCACAAAGTGGGGGCGGAAAGGGGCATAAGCAGGAAAGCTGTTCTGGAAAATCTCACAGGAACAACAGGCATTAATAGGAATAAGCCAATGAGGTGGAAGTTCATTGAGGCCAGACGACTGAAATCTGTCCGTAAAATGATATGTAATTCAGTCATTTGTTCTTTAATCACTTGTTCCTCCTAAATCCAATGACCGTTTGTATTAGATTTAACTAGGTACAAGGGTGGCATGCCGTAAAAAAGTTTTTCTGTAATTCCTTGGAGGTTTTTGTGCACAGTAAGAACTCCACCCATGAAGGAAGTTCGGTTTGATAAAGCATTGTTCTTATCTGCATTCTAGATTAAATTATGGCGAAGTCCAAGATCCTGTAGCTTATATACACGGAGATGCCTTATCGACACCCAGCAGCCCTTACCGTCAACCCTCACGCCAACCTTCTGACTCGCGGAGCATGCCCCCTACCCCTCAACTTCCCCGCAACGCCTACAGCAGCATCCAGCTCAGGTACAGAACACAATTGACCCCTCTTCATCACCCGCTCACTAGTGTGACCCTTGAATGACATTTGGTAAGAAATAAAGAGTGTTCCCACGATCATGGCAAACCTGTAAATGTCAGGGTTTTCCAGGTTTGGAAAAGTCATAGAAATGTGTAGTTCCTCCATTATTGAATTTTTTTTTATATTAAAATTTTTAATTCATTTATTTTTTTAATGTTTTCTTATTTATTTTTGAATTCTTTAATTATTTAATTCATGGGTTTTGAAAATGTTTTCAATAATTATTTTGCTTCTTCCTGCATGCAGCACTCATTTTCGGCAGCGCAGCGGTAGTCTGGAATCTCAGTCACAGTTCCTTACTGAGAGTGAGCCACCCGAGCCCGTCTTCACAATCTCTCCTCCTCGCCATAGCAATAGCACTGAGATACTTGATGATGGCTCCTCCTACACCAGCCAATCCAGCGTGGAGTACTCTGTACCCGGCTGCCATTCACGTGCTAAAAACCGCCATCGGCGAAGGCAGGGCAACATATACGCCAACACAGGCAGCATGCCCAACCTTGCACAGAATGACACACGGGGTTATACACCCCAACCTCGGCAACAACCAACCACCACAGCCTATTACGTTACTGGATATCCACGGTACATCGAACCTGAGGTGTACCCAAATGGACCATACATGTATGAGACTGAAATGGAGGGACACTATAATGTTAACCCGTCCTACTACAGACACGCCCCTCATGGGAACTATGGCCAGGATGAGATAGATGGTTTGGCTCATAACATTTATGCCACATTAAGGCCATCAAGGAACCGTCCTCCATCCAGGAATGAGAATTCTGTCAAAAACATGCAAAGGGCTGAAGTGGTGGAACACTTGCATGGTTGGTACAACCGACAGCACAGACAGCAAGGGTATGATACCTATAGGCGGCCGCAGCAGAACCTGGGCTACAGGACCATGTCATCAAGTTATGTACGCAGTGACAGTACAACTTCCTACTCAACAGGTGAGAAGTGTTGCAAAAAAAATACTACCTTGCGTTTCCTCATGTTAGAAATTTTTCTGGGCTTCTGTCATCTTAAATGGGTGAAACTCAAAATCAAAAGAAAAAGTACAAGAATTATGAATAAGAAAAAAGAAGCCTGGTTTAGGACCATTTGCATTGTGACATTATTATCAGTACAATATATCAGTAATGTAATGCGTAAAAAACATATTCTCATCCTGTTTAGACAGTATTTTTTAAATTAAAAAAATAATAATATATATATATATATGTATATATAAATATAAATTCAGTTTTACATCAGAAATTTTCTTTACAATTTATACGTGCCATTTATATATTATTAAATTTGAAAATTACTTAATGGGCATCTAACACTTGTGTTAATCTGCCATAACAGTCAAATATCGGCCATTTAATTACCCTGGCCAGTCTAAAACCTTGAGTGTTTGTTGTTTTGAGTAATTTTTCTTCTCTCTTGAACACTAATGTTATCTGCATGAGGTTCTCCTTCATTCATTTCCTTTCATCTTAATTTCATTTTAAATTCGCAGTCGGTTCGGAAAACTGGCACGGTCGACCAGTCATGGCAATGTCAGAGTATGATATGCCTCCCACACACCATCAGTCCTACGGCTACAACACTGTCCATTACAGCCAGCCGTTACACAGCAGGTACGACTCTTCTGTGCTCCATCGTCCTTTACTGATTACCTCATTAGCCTTTATCTGAATCTGATAAAGAACCAGAGTTAAGCACCCACCATCACAATGGCATGCAAGAAACTCATTACTGCGCGCGCCTATAGCACCTCACAGTAAAAAGGTTGAAAAAATGTTATAGAGCCACTTTAAATGAGGGTCCCACGTCATATCATAGAAGCTTAGGTTGGGCTTTTTTGACCTGACAATAAACATCCACCATGAATACCCTATGAATCACTTTGAAATGCACTAGCAACCACCTAGCAAAAGCATAATAACACCCATTACTCATTAGGTACATTAGGTACTAATACATACCTTTAAGGTACTAATATGCATCCTTTAGGGGGAAATTAGGTCGAGAGGTGTACCTTTTGAAAGGGTACTGCCCCAGTGACGGCTTTTGTATTTTTTCTGAGTGTATCTAGCTATGCTACAGTTGTTTATGGGCATGTTCTAGCTAACAGCTTGCCTGACACCATGCATCTTGTTAATTCTGCAGGAGCGCTGGTGCAGTACCTGCTCTCATGCTTTGTTCTCCTTTTGACCATTCTTTTCCTCACAGTGGCTCCAGCTCGCACTCTAAACGTGCTTGGCACTACCCCACCAGCCCTCAGTACTATCCTCCACATTTCTCCCAAGCTTGCTCTTCCTCCCTCCCTCCTCCTCCTCTTCCTTCTTCCTACTCTTGCTATCAGATGAAGCAGATGAGTTTGTCCCCGCCTCAAACTGGTGGTGCAAGACATGCAAGGGTTAATAAAGCTTCATTTGCTAAGTGTAGCCCTTGATAGTAAGTAAAGCGCCAGCCGTGTGGTGTTGCTGTGTCTGTACTCAGCGTGATTTGTTGTTTAGTCAGCATCTCAGGATGTCTGGCTTGTTGTGTGTTGTAAAAGTACAACTGCATGGCTTCCTTTTAAATGTGCTTGTGTTTCTCCAAGCAACCATTAAAGGAGTAGTTCACACTTGTGTCCTCACCCTCATGTCGTTCCAAACCCGTATGAGTTTCTTTTTTCTGTAAAAGTGCAAATATATAGATTATGTCGAGTGTCCATATGTATCCATACAACTTTTGCATTTTTATTCCATGTCTTTTGAAGCCAATGTATTCCTCACAAGCTTCAACATTAAGTTTTTTTTCTGCTGGCCTATTCGGGTGACCAACACACACTACCATTCAAAGGTTTGGAGTCATTCATTCTTTTTTTTTGTTTTTTTTTTTGAAGAAAGTAATCGTTTTTTTCCAGCAAGGATGCTCTAAATTGATCAAAAGTGACAGTAAATACATTTGTAATGTTAAGAGAGATTTCTAATGTGCTTTTGAACTTTCCATTCATTAAATCACACATTCATCACAATTTCCACAAAAATATTAAGCAATACAGCTGGTTTCAACATGATAATAAGAAATATTTCTTGAGCACCAAATCAACATATTAGAATGATTCGTGTGACACTGTGTGACATTGAAGATGGCCGCTAAAATAAAAATTCAGATTTTCATCACAGAATTAAAATACCTTTTAAAATATGTTCAAATTAAAAAATATATTTTAAATAATAACATTCCACAATATTATAGTTTTTACTGTATCTTTGATCAAATAAATGCAGCTTTGGTGAACATATAGACAGAATTTAATATGGATCATTTTACAATTTATTATTTAATGTTTTAATACATAGTAAATAATAAATTAATATATTAAATGTTACATTTTCTTTATAAAGAAACCAAAAATAGCTGGTATAATAATTACACAGGAAACTATAGACACTTTTGATGAAAAATGAACCAAAAATCCTATCTAGTTTCCATACATTTTACATAAAAACTAATGTTTGTAAGGCAAATAAATACACATGCAATAATTCAATTCAATTCAAGTTTATTTGTACAGCGCTTTTTACGATACAAATCGTTGCAAAGCAACTTTACAGAAAATGAAGTTTCTACAATATTTAGTGGTAGCTTATCAGTGGTGACTGTCAGTTAATGTACATATGGCAGAAATGTACGGAAAAATAAATTCAAGACGTAATCAAACAGACGATGAACACTATTAACAGCTATTATTATATGATGCAATCAAACTTGTTGCAAAATTTGGTAGTTCTGTATGTTGTTTCAGTAATAAGTAATAAGCAATAAGTGTAACATACAGTGACAACGTAGCACTGGCTCTGCCTCAGTCCTCATTATGACTAAAAACACTTTGCAAAATATAATTTGTAAAATGCCAGAAATAACGATATATGTATTTGCAACAACATAAAAGTTGAGTAAATGGCCAGATTTTTATTTTTGGGTGAACTATCCCTTTAAGCATCAACATACATCCAGTGGTCTCTCTGGCTGTGTGTAGTGAGCACACATGAACACTTATCAATTTGATCTGACTGCTGCTTACCCTTCCTCCCAAACCAGCCCTGACCCCCATCTGCTGGCTCCGCCTCCTGACCCTCTTATGGACAGATACCCACCCGAGTACGGGTGGATGACTCCAGGCAGGAGAATCCCATTGCCAGCGCCTTTAGAGGTGCCTGGTGCTGTTGCCAGCGGTTATGACCCGGAATACTTTTACACTCATTGCTAGTGACACAGACAACATGTAAAACATTGGTGAGATATCGCATTTGGCTCTCTAACTATAATGGCGAATCACTCAGGGGTTAACAAAACTGCAGTCTTTTGCACAGCACTTTCTTCTGCTTACTCGCTGGTGGTGGGGTGGTTGTGTGTTTTCTTCCAAAAAAGGGTGAGGTCTTGTTTTGAGGGGAAGCATGTGGCCCTGCACTTTTTTTGATTGCTGTGTGCAAGTTATGACTGGCATACGTGTGTGTTATTGTATGGTCTGCTTCAGGTGTGTGAATGTTTAACACTGTTCAGTGATGTTGTGTCTCACTCAACCTACTTGAAATCTGTGATGAGCACGTTTACATGTATGAATCAAAAAACAATCATCAATATGGAAACAAGGCTTGTTTCTTGACCAGATAAACTGAATTCCTTAGTACACAATGCTGCAAAACCAGCTGCACAAGGAGTTATTTTTGCAACATTGTGTTTCTTGCAAAACTATTGACCGTGACTCTGTGGTAGCTTATCAGTGGTGACTGTCAGTTAATGTACATATGGCAGAAATGTACGGAAAAATCAATTAAAGACGTAATCAAACAGATGATGAACGCTATTAACAGCTATTATTATATGATGCAATCAAACTTGTTGCAAAATTTGGTAGTTCTGTAAGTTGTTTCAGTAATAAGTAATAAGCAATAAGTGTAACATACAGTGACAACGTAGCACTGGCTCTGCCTCAGTCCTCATTATGACTAAAAACACTTTGCAAAATATAATTTGTAAAATGCCAGAAATAACGATATATGTATTTGCAACAACATAAAAGTTGAGTAAATGGCCAGATTTTTATTTTTGGGTGAACTATCCCTTTAAGCATCAACATACATCCAGTGGTCTCTCTGGCTGTGTGTAGTGAGCACACATGAACACTTATCAATTTGATCTGACTGCTGCTTACCCTTCCTCCCAAACCAGCCCTGACCCCCATCTGCTGGCTCCGCCTCCTGACCCTCTTATGGACAGATACCCACCCGAGTACGGGTGGATGACTCCAGGCAGGAGAATCCCATTGCCAGCGCCTTTAGAGGTGCCTGGTGCTGTTGCCAGCGGTTATGACCCGGAATACTTTTACACTCATTGCTAGTGACACAGACAACATGTAAAACATTGGTGAGATATCGCATTTGGCTCTCTAACTATAATGGCGAATCACTCAGGGGTTAACAAAACTGCAGTCTTTTGCACAGCACTTTCTTCTGCTTACTCGCTGGTGGTGGGGTGGTTGTGTGTTTTCTTCCAAAAAAGGGTGAGGTCTTGTTTTGAGGGGAAGCATGTGGCCCTGCACTTTTTTTGATTGCTGTGTGCAAGTTATGACTGGCATACGTGTGTGTTATTGTATGGTCTGCTTCAGGTGTGTGAATGTTTAACACTGTTCAGTGATGTTGTGTCTCACTCAACCTACTTGAAATCTGTGATGAGCACGTTTACATGTATGAATCAAAAAACAATCATCAATATGGAAACAAGGCTTGTTTCTTGACCAGATAAACTGAATTCCTTAGTACACAATGCTGCAAAACCAGCTGCACAAGGAGTTATTTTTGCAACATTGTGTTTCTTGCAAAACTATTGACCGTGACTCTGTTTTTTGGTATATCTGGTATTGTATTCATATATATTATGTGCTACTGGGGTTGAAAATGTCCAATAAATCAGTGTATTTGTCCATATTTCCTGTAGATCTTTTCATTATTAAAACATTTTACTCTCTTTTCTATTTGCAGATCCTATATAGATGTCAGCCAACACGATTCACACACGAGCAGCCCAATGGACAGCAGTTTTGACTCTGAAGAGCAGCAGACGCTCTGCTGGCATGAGAACTCTAAACCTGGAACAATAGTGTAGAGAGTGAGAGAAACTGCTTCCTGTTCACTCTTATGTGCCTTTCTTCACATCCCGTTTGCTTATTAATGCCAACGAGTTCCAAAGGTAGGAATGTCGCCGGACGAGAGCCTTTAAAACATGCGTGTGAAGGACGCTGCATTCTCTTCGTGAACAAACCTATGGGATAGCACATCGTCTTCAAGACATAGCTGCTGTGGAAACTTTGGGTGAAACTTTTGACGCTGAGGGCAGAATGAACTGGGTACATCGCCCCAATACACACTGTGAGATTGAAGGATATTGCAACATTAATGTTTCATCGGGCACAAGCAAAAAATTATATGAAGGATTGAAACCAGATTTTTCTCGTGTGCAAAACCAAAATATTCTGCAGTGCTTTTTCACACTTGGATTGTTAGTTGTTCGTGCTGATCTCGACTAACTTTTAACAGTGTTTTGTGTGTGTGTGTGTGTGTGTGTTCGTAAACTCAGTACTTGGAATGTGATGGTGCAACAGCCTTTATTCAGTATTTTCTTTATACAGTCACCTGTGTATCATTTTAATTTGGTTTACAACCAGCAGTGCTGTTTTTAATTAGTGCACAACTAACATTTGCACTAGCAAATACTAGTAAATCATGTCTGTCAACATGTTACTTTACATCAGCCAGTGCCAAGTATTCAGTTTCTTTTCTAATCCTGTTAAAATGGACTGCAACAACTCTATAATTATTGAAACATGACTGTATGGGAGTATAATTGTTTTTATACTGTCACTAACAAATTACCCTGGTACAATAATTGTGGCCATTTACTGCACTTTTATACCCTAATGGACTTTGCTCACTCTGAAAGATTGGAAACCGTGAATGAGAGCACAGCATCTCTCTTTCTCTTCTGAAGGGAACTGTATATGTGTTTGTAAATACTGTAAAAACATTTGATACGTTTTTCACCTTTTAGAGAGATTTCTTTTTATCATTTTGAAAGATTTGTTTTTAAAGCATATAATATATAGGTTGGATTTCTCAAGCTGGTTCTTAGTAAAAAATCATTGGAATTAAAAGAGAAAACCAACATGTATTGCCCTTGTCTTTTGTCAGTATTGAGCATGAATGGTTTTATAATCGGAAATAAAACTTTCTTGTGGCTTCATGAGGAAATACCACCTGCTGGGATGCAATAAGGAAGTTGACAGCTTGACTTAGTGTGACAGTAAGCCACCATTGGGACTGTAAAATTATTTAACATCAATAAGTCAATTCTATGCAATATTGGTTACATTTATTATTTAACACATGCTTATCCAAAAAAAACACACACACACACACACACACACACACAAGCTGGCAATACAACAAGTGATTAATTATAAATTTGTCTTTTTATAGCTGAAATATTGAATTAAAGTTCTCACATAAAAAAACAACCACTTGTGTTAAAGCTACACACACTTATAATTCTTTCATCACTTTAGACTCTGAATTCTCATGAGTACAAGCATCTCGTCATCATTCGTGGAGTACAGTATAAAACCAGAAAAACGAGTTTTGAGACTCCAGCTAAGAGCACATGAGCCACTCCCCTAAAGATAAGCAATCAGTCATCTGTGTACAGAATGAGCTCATAACACATCATGTGGCTGGCTGGCTGGCTTCTTATGCTACACCTTTGATAAATATCCATAATTCATGTAT